GGATCTCTAGCAGGAGGGGCTCTGCCGATTGAAGTCACTAAAAACAGGATTGGGGACTTCAACAGCAGAGTCCAGGGAAGGGGTAGGGACGGTTTTATGGCCTGCAGCATGCAGGGGGTCAGACCAGATGATCATAATGGTCCCTTCTGACCTTAAAGTCTATGAGTCTATGAGTCTATGAACTATCTTTATATAAAAATAGGTTGGAAAATCTTCCTAGCAAAATAGTTCTTTTTCTTTCAATTTTTTAAAACAGAACTTTGCAAGCTTAAGGAGAGCTTTAAGTCAATGAAGAAATCAAACGTCAGAAAAAAATTAAGATCACAAAACTTATAAACCAGAAGCAAGAAAAGGGCATACGTAAAAGGTAACCTGCACTTGTCTTTACAAATCCTGCAAAGATTTATTTGCTTAAATTCAAGCACATGAGTAATTTCATTTAGCTCAATGTGACATCGCATATGCTTGAAGCATGTGCATAAGTCTTTGCAGGAGCAGAGCCTAATTGATGCAGTTAAAGAAATGTTGTAAACTTTGCACATCATTTTTTTTAAAAAGAGTGAAGAAAATTATGCAACAAATCAAGTAGTTAGATACTGAGATGCTATAATTTGATTGTTGTGCCTGGGTTGAGTTCCTTCAAATATGTTTCCTACCAGAGGAGAATAATTCCATAATAGTGAATATTAATGCATGGAATGTATCACATTTTATTTTAGGGACATAAGTCTTCCATTCATTCAGACTGGAGTAAAATATAATTAAACAGAAGACATCTCAGGTTAGGGGATGGTTAAAAAGTTTTTCCAGTGGACTGGTGATCACTTCACCAAAACAAGCCATCTCTACAACTGGCACTGATTGACCTTCTTGTTGATAGTCAGGGCATAAAGGCCAAGGATAGGATGGGTCTATAAACTGAATTGCCCCTCACGCCTAGATGTGGTACCTCCAGATCAGGCTTGGATATGTTGGCAGGATCCATCTTTTACTCCTGTGAATAAACGGAGGACATCACTCCCCTGGACAGTCAATCCATCATTTTTCAGCTGAGGACTAAAATGTAATTTTGAATATGCTGCTTCAGTTTGATCATTTTCCTACACACCCTTTTTTTTTTCAATAGTGGAGTGAAAATGTTTAAAAATAGGAAAAGTATCCAAAAGTTATTATTTGGTGCTGAGTGCAAAGCACCTTTCTGTCTTTTCCTCTCTGACACTCAAGGGAAAAAAACACTTGAAAGCATTCTTTTGGTGCTTAATCCGGTACTTCCCTTTTGCTCCTCTCTTCCTTTCTGTCTCTCTGATGCTCAAGGCTTGGCTCATAAACAGACTAAAACCAAAAATATAATGGTAATAATTAGATGAAAAAGCAAGAATTTTGTTCTAAGAATTACCATAACTGTTAATGTCTCTGTTGGCTCTCATACTTGGAGAAGTTTAAATCAGCTTGGGGGATACCATGTTTAGCAGATGTTTTCTACTCACTCTTCATTGTAATCCGATTGAGTGAATGGTGACTTTGAAGTTGGCAATGAAAAATGAGCTTAATTTGTGAGTGACAGTGAACCTACAAGCTTGGAAGAAGTTGATTGCCAGAATAAAAATGTAAGACTAGTCAGAGAGAATACTTTAGAGACCAGACCGCCAGGTTTGAAGTATGTAGATTTCTTGTAACCAAAAAAAGGAGTCTAGCAAATTTCAATGAATATTCTGCCTTCCAAGAAATAAAATGAAAGCAGCCTGAAGTCGTAAGAAGTCAAAGTATATCAGTTATACAGGTGAGGTGCTCTCCTAATAATAACGGTGAAGCAATATTGTACAGTGAGGTCCTCAATGGGTTTAAGTCACATAGTCCATTAACAAATGTCTCGTGAGAATTTTTTTTCTCCTACTGGTATAATTGGACCTGCTATCTCAGAAAGATGGTGTTGTGCATCCTAACCTGCAGTTGTTGAGTTGCTCCACCTCTGAGCTTGGGTCACAAGACATTAATTCTTTGTGATCTGGTGTGCCCTGTTGAAGGACAGGAGTTTTTTTGGTGCAGTCCAGAAATCAATTTACGTTGAAATACTATTCTCAGAAGTGGAAAAGATTTTCTCTATAAACAGATGGTAACACCATCTCCAGGTTCTGTGTCCATATATTAGATTATTCATTGTGCCTAAGTCTCTCAGCCTCTTTTCTTCTGTCAAGGTGCTCCTGCATGCCAGCTCAATATATCATCTGTGAGTGGCAGATTCTATTTTTTTTTCAGTCAAACCACCCTCACAAAATTTCTGAAAAAATGCGGTTAATTAATGTCTTCCCATCAGTCAGAGAATAAATTCTATCAAGGACCTTAACCTTGTGATTCTTGAGGACTTGTTTTTCTTCCACTTGTCAGTTACATCTGTAAGAAGAACAAGAGTATTACAGAATTTAATGGCTAGCCTCCTTTCACTGTCTTCCACATGGACAGTGTTGTCCTGTGTCCTCATCCCATACTTATTCCAAAAGTGGTGCCCGAGTTCCAGCAATCTCCTGGTGTTCTTGCCAAAACCTCATTCTCGCCCAGGGGAGACTATACTCCATTCACTAGATGTGGTGTGTTTTGAACTTGTACTTGGATAGGACTAAGGGGTTTAGGAAGTTAGCAAGATTTTTTGTAGTTTTGGGGATCAGTGTAAAAGGAATGCTTTTTCAACTCAGCAGTGTTTAAGTGGATTAAGCTGTGCACTGAGATATAATAATATGTTAGCTAGGGTGAAAGTATCTCAGAGTATTACAGCAATCTTTATCAGGACTAACGTGACATCCATGATGAGTCTCTAATATTTTCATCATACAACTCTCTTGATTTGACATTTATGTCAGATGCTTGTTTTGGGAGGGCAGTTCCAGTTAGAACTCCTCAGCCCATCTTTCTGTGGGTGTAGTACTATTTAGACTCCCACAGTGGGAAAATGAGAGCCTATCTCCAAAATGAAAAACATGGCTCTGGCCAGTACCATACAAACTACGGTTCTTCAGGAGTGTTGTCTCTGCATATTCATGTTAAATGCCCTCCTTCCTCTATTCCGCAGAGTTCTACTTTGATGCAACCATTGGTCAGAGGCAGTTGGGGCACATGGCCTTGTTTGTAACCTCAGCTGGGAATATTTGGTGCCACAAGAGGTTGGTCACACAGGTCCAATGGAAACTACTTTCCAGAAGGTTTGTGATGCTCAGTGGCATGGGAGGAGAGAGGGGACAGAAGGGGACTCATTCTCACAACTGTGAATATGGAGAGACAACACTTTAAAGAAACAAAAAACAGTTAGAATTGCAATCATGTTACATAACAGTCACCTTATACATTTTATCTGATTGACACCGGTTGTCCTTGTGTGTTAGTAATAATTTAATATAATCTCCCTATGTTTCTGATCTAGGAAAGCCGTCACTTTACGTATTTCACTTTAATTACTAGTGCCTGCAAGGCTCTCCTGTTCAAAACTCTCTCTTGACTTCACTGAAAGTTCCCTATGTGCAGGGTTTGCAGGGTCAAACCCTACAAGTATATTCTAATATTCCGGGGTCAAACCTTAAAAAACAGCCTCTAATTTTGCTTGCACAGTTATTATTTTGACACACGCATATGTGGTAATGTTGTATGTAAACAGCTGCAAGGACAAAGATAGAGCCTGGTTGTAAATTTGGCTCTAAATATAAAGCAAAAAAAACCCCAAACAACCTTATTGTCTCAAATTCATTCTCATGTGTCACTGACTTTGCTGTTGCTGAATATGTCAACTTTTAATGAGAGGCAATTACAATTATTCAAAATGGTATATTTCAGGCCCTTAAAGACTGTTTCTGATCCTATTATAATACCTACTTAGAATTAAAATACAATCCATATATACATATAGCAGCATAGTACATTTAGTATAACAGAAAGGACTAATTTTTTGTCTCCTAGGTAGCATCATTCATAGGAGCAGAAATAAGAGCAGTACTGTATGTGAGGTTACTATATAATTCTGCTTTCAGAATATCTCCAATGGCAGGCTCTTTTACCATTAAGTTGCCAAGGGACTTTCAGTTTCACTGGTGGTAGAAGGTAATTAATTTGCACATGTTGTTTCTTTCCTTCCTTTGATAGGACTGAGTTTCCATCTGCCATCAGATGTCTTTCTGCCTGACTGAGATGCACCTGTGGTCTTTGAAGAATACCTTACATGTTGGGGGTAAATCAACTGTGACCAAATTCCAACCTTTTCCTAAAACAGAATAACAAAAGCTGTCAATGAATATTCAATTGATATAAAATTCTGAATACTCATGTAAAGTTGAAGTTTATTTTTATGCTTGGGGAAAACAAATTATATAAAAGCAGTATGGTATAATGTGGTTAGCTTCTTATCTGGTCATAGATCTGGAGTATCTTTGTCAATAATGAAAAATTATTAAGATTATATATTGTCTAATTCATGTTTCCTTTTAAGAAGCCATGTGCTGCTTTACTATAGGTTTCACTATAATGACTAGTTTATTGATATTCATTCATACATTCCAGTTGATTGCAGAAGAATTATAATATGTACTTAATATGTAACAATACTTTATTGCTCATGCTCTGAAAATGTTGAATGGAGAACTGGTATACTTAAGATACATTTATCTTATTAAACTATCATTCCAGTTTACAAAGTAATTTGAGATACATGACTAATTACCATCCATGTGGAAAAAACCTTTATACTTCTAGCTTTGCAAGTGCTAAAATCCAATGCTCAACAAACCACTGGTTTTGAAATGTGTGATACCAAAACCACATTTATTTGACATCTAGTCCCTATGACAGTTGTAGCAAGGTGCATTCCAGTAACACTAAAAACCATACAAAAATATGATTAATCAAATATTGACTCAATTTCCCACAGTGTCCCATATCTTTATGAGAACAAGCCTGCTGTAATGACAACTAGATAAAATGTTTAATCAATAGCCAGACTGTCCATAAAAGCCTGGTAGCCTAAATAAAATAATTAATTATGATAATTGTAATTAAAAGCATGTTATGAACTGTTACATTTCAGAAACATGAACTGTTAGACTTTGTTTGCTGGGAGAAACCAGATCTTTAAATGACAGTTCATTATTTTCAGATTTCTTTGTAATGGATTCCAACCTAACATTGCTTTTGCTTATTACAAATAGTGTGTATAAAATCCCATCTCTGGAAATGATAGCTATGTGATAAATTGCAGAGCCATATGATAAATGAATATATCGTGCGGCTTTGACCTGTTGCCCACTAACCCATCTCCCTCAGCTCTTCAGGAAGCTGCTATTTTATTTTAAAGTCAGCCAGCCAAAGAAATGCTTTCCACCTTCTTCCCCAGCTGAGGAATTTCCCCAAAAATCTCTCCCAAGGCCAGGATGAGATAGAGTGAGTCTTGGGACAATTTATAGTAAAATAGTATCTCTTTAAAGTCTAATATCTTAGAGCACCACATAGCTAGAAATGGGAGTTTTTTACCATGGGAAGGGGAGCTTCCCAAAGTGCACAAGTATAAAAAAAAATAGTTGCAATTTACAGGCCAATAGTGGTAACATTGCCAGTCACCAGGAGGCATTTTTTAAAAAAGTGATTCAATTTCATTTTATGTGCTACATTTTTTCAAGTGACACACAATCACGATGTAATGATATTTCCACTTGATTATGTAGATGAAGACATTGGGATCTATCAATACTATGACAAGAAAGAACCAGGTACAGTATAAATTGTATTTAACTGTAAAAAAAACTGTTTAAAACTTTGAAATGTTTGGTCTGGTTTGGGAACAAGTTGTTTGGCTAATGGTGTTATGTATAGACTCAGCAATGAATTTCTTCTTAATATGCAAGTGTCTTTTTGTATTTCTCTAGAATCAGGAAACAGTCACAGAGACTCTGTCTCGAGTAATCTGAATCTATTTTTAAACTTTTTATTCCGATAGACAAAAACTATAGATAATAAGTAAATGAATCATAAAAATGATTAAAGGAACTTTCAATAGATATGACTGAATGCCTCTTACATTTGGAGAGTGATAAACTAAACATCAACCAGGCCTCGGAGTGTCTATATTTTCTACCTAACAATCTTGTATGTGCTATAAAGAAAAATTAATAAAACTATTTAACACTATAATTTGAATGTAATATAGTGTTTCAGATATGGCTAATTTGATATTGAGCATTCCAGTAATTTTTTATTTGTTGGAATCCCAGCAGAGGGCATCGTAAACGCAGAGGAATGCACTAGAGTTAGCCTCCTGGATCTTTACCTGATATCTGAAATAGGCATTTCAGAGTGAATGATCAATTTTCTTTATCTGATTAATCCTGTTAATCCTCGAAGTTTCATGATGGCCCAAAAGGTCTTTTCAGCTACAGTTACTTCCTGTTTCAGGCCAGGCTAAAGCGGAGGCTTGTGTGGGCATCCCATGTACTTAGTTTGGTGGTTAATATGCTGTCTCCATGGTTCTGATGACAGACTGACTCAGCTTCTCTCCTGGATTCAGTTGCAGCTCACTTCACTATCTGATGAGATTGGAGGCTCAGTAATACTGGCCCACCTGTTGGGCTGCATAAACCTTTCTTTCACTGTGAATTTAAGATATCTGACTGTGAGGTGAAAAAATCAGGGCTGTCTTAATTTTGTGTAAATTTCTGTGTTTTATTAAAATGTCTGAATCGTCTCTTTAATGTATTCATATTTGCTGACAGCAGTTTTGAGGGTTAACATTCGTCTTTTCATTCTCCCCCCTCCCCCCCTCTTTTTTAGTATCACAAACGAACCATGGTTACTTAGAAGAGAAACAACAGCTTGTGGAATGTAAGGACATTTTCTAGGTTACTTGTTGTGATAAGATTGTGTTGCTTTTTTTTAATTGCTGTTGCTCCTAGCAAAACACTAAAATAATCTCTCTTCTTCAACCTCAACTTTCTGCACATACCATATAGTAGGAGACTGAATATCATAGACCTAAAGAGCACAAAATAATTCACAAGATGTAACTAAACCTTCCTTATGTAATTGCAATATATTTTTTCTATATATAGAAAATATATGTTTTGGGGAGGAGGGATAGCTCAGTGGTTTGAGCATTGGCCTGCTAAACCCAGGGTTGTGAGTTCAATCCTTGAGAGGGCCACTTAGGGATCTGGGGCAAAACCAATACTTGGTCCTGCTAGTGAAGGCAGGGGGCTGGACTCAATGACCTTTCAAGGTCCCTTCCAGTTCTAGGAGATAGGATATCTCCATTAATTTATAATTTTATTAATTTTATTTATATCATTGAGCATGGTAGTCACAATTGTTTCTCATTTCTCTTGCCAAGTAAAAACAGAAATAAACATAATCCAGGACTCTCCTTATCAAGTTTAGTCTGCAGATTATCAATAAATTTCTTAAATAATTGAAAGAATTTAAATATTAATTGGTACAAAACTAAAAATTTTCCAAGAGGAGTAAAAGAAACATGGCACTAATAATCAGCTGTATTCCTAATTTGTTTGGTGAGGTTTTTGGGGGGAAATTTACATTGGATTATATGTTCCTTCTCGCTGGTTAAAAGAAGTTTTAATGATGCTATCACATTACTATCACAATGCTGCTAGAGGTTTATCATTTGAATAATAAAATCTTCCCTCCACCACAAGTTTTGTAACTACTGCATAGTTACTCCTTCTCATACCACATTGTAGTGTTCAATCTGTATTGCATTACAGCTATGAAAAATCAAATTGAATTTTATGGGATTTTGCAAAATAAAATTTATACTGTAAGAGTTCCCTTAACACTGTATCTGATCATAACTGAATTAGTATTAGGACCAAATTCTTCCTTCAAATAGATATGCAAAATTCTCATTAATTGAAGTGGGATTGGTGTGTGTGTGTTTGGTGGCAGAATTTGGCCCATAAGGACAAATCCCCCTGGGACCCAGTCCCCAGTATGCTCGAAGGGCCCTTTGTCCAGGAGAACTAGTGAAGTTCTGCTATAAAGCGGGGCAAAATTTAAGGAGCCATATAGAGGATTTACATCCCTTGTATGCTGTGGAGTATTGTTCTGCATGGGTTCCCTATATGATGGGTCCGTCTGTTGTGGGCAGAGCAGAGCCAGTAGATATTGATTACACAGCTGCACCAACCTGCTCCTCTCGTATATGTGACATGCAATGGGAGCATAAGCTACTATAGCGGTGTTGCTGTAATTACTCCCATGAACTGGCTCCACTACTGCTCTGTGGCATGATGGGAAGATTCCTCCCCTGTCAGGCTCCATTGGACTTCTCACTGCACAGCCCAAATATCAGGGCTCTGTGCTGAGATCAGGGCTGCCCCAAAGCACCGAATCTCACATGACACTTTTATGGGCCATATTTCTGACAAGGCTGCACTGGTTAATTTTGTATTCAAATGGTGATTTGGACATATAATTTGGTATTTGTATGAGCAAGTTCCCACTCTGTATATTTAGATAAGAGTTCTTAATTTACACAGAGGCTTATTGAAAAAATGATCTTACATGCCTAATTAGAATTATCACAACAGTTCCATTAACACTAGCTTGGTCCAATACAAGGGAAGCTGTATGTTCATGTGCTTTTTGTTTGGTTTTGAATGATATACATAGTGCATGACTGAAGGACTTTATAACATTTCTGTTATAAGTTGGTTTTGTGGGGAGGTTTAAACTTGACTGTTAATTCATTTGGCATGAAAATTGACATACAAACTCTGACAGCTCAGAGCTCGACACTTTTCACCAAATCTCCTTTAAATAGTTTAGACCGATAAATAAAGAGAGAGAGAGGGTTTTCCAGTTTCACAGGCTTTTTTGTTATGTACACGTTGGGGGGGGGGAAATTGCTCACTTTTTAAATAATGACATTTAGTATGTTATTAAAACCTGATCTTTCAGCTATGACACAGCTATTGCCATTAACTCCAAAGGGAGCTTTGCCTTCCTAAATACTGCAGGGTCAATATCTTTGGCTAAATATTTCAAAATTGTTTGCTGAAAGTTAGGCATCTAAATAAAGTTAGTAAGATTGTTAGAGAATTGTAAGTATCCATGATTCCTATTTAAGCGAGCTAAGCACTCATATACCCTGATCCTGAACTTCCTGTCTAACCTACCCCCCAGCTTTTTTTTGTTAGCTTGCCGTGGCAGACACGTAGAACCAAATTTTCAATAATAAATGCCTAAATGGCTCATATAGTAGTAGTAGTAGTGCAGGGCACAATTACCAGTTGACATCCATGCATGCATATTTTGTGGGCACAAGTTAGTGCTTGCTTTTGGAATTTTTGCCCTTAATGTTAATTCAACATAATAATATCTAAGATGAGTCAGGAGGGAGTTGATAACTTGCATCTCTGTGAGCTAGAAACACTGTGCTTGGGAGACTTTCCCATGGCAAATGCTTAGCAGCTGGGGAGGATATTCTACCCTGAGAGCTTTATCCATGATTCCCATAGTGAAATCGTGGTAGGTGAGGATATTTCATGTTAACTGTTCCTATGACAGAGCCTTTCAAAAGGATATCATTTGACAATAGAAACCATACCCACTTCCCCCCAATTATAGGCAAGTTTCTGTATAACATTATGTTAAGATCATTCCTATAAATCTTATTATTTTGTTTCCCCACACCAAAAGAAAGAAAACCCCAACTTAAAACATAGTTTTTGACTGTTTATATATATATACGTATATTTTTTTTTTATTTACCAGCTCGAGATTATCCTTGGATACTTAAAAACAAACGCCCAGAAAAACTGCGCGATGCTCTCAAGGAGCTGGAGGTACCTTTCAGAAACTTTCAAGTATGGCAACAAATAATCCGGTTTTCAAACCTCTTTCAACAGCTTTAATTTTCATAAAGGATCAGCCCTCCTGGTGATGATAAATGTGCTTTTGTCCAGTGGGCTGGTCCAAAACAGTTGCATCTTTGTTTGTGTGGCATGCTGATCTCTCATGCTTGAAAATCAGAAGCACCTTAACCACTAGTGACAATGTGTACAGCCAACTCCACTCTTTCTGTTTTCTGTTGTTCTTCAGGAGCTGATGCAAAACAGTCAGTGTGTGCTGAGCAAATGGAAGAATAAATATGTCTGTCAGGTAAAATGTTTTGACATGCTCTTGAAATGTTCAGTCAGTGGAGCTGAACGACTGTTCAGTGATTGATGCTGAAATGTTATCATGTTAACTGGTATAGAAACTCACTGGTGTTTTAGCATGGGGGAATTTCATTATTTAGATTTTGTTTATAAGCAGAAACAGACAGGATAAAATCAAACTCTATGGTCATTTTACTAACAAGAATTACTCAGTAAGGGCTTGATCTTTTGAGGTACTGAGTGCCTGCAGCTTCCACAAAAGTAATGGGATTTGAAGGCACTAAAAGCTCGGGGGTGCTGGAATAATTTTTATAGTGGGGGTGCTGATGATAGAACCCATGTATTTAGTGTTTGTTATTACTACTTCAAGCCAGGGGGTGCAGTAGCATCCCTAGTTCCAGCACCACTGTAAACACCTTACAGGATCGGACCCACACAGTCAAAAGAGCCATTAAAATGTATAAAGAGGCCTGGAAAATATTTTTATATGATATATTTTACGTAGCAAACATTTACACATATGTATCAAAGCATTTACTTTGAACCTGGATACCATGGTGATGGGGGTTGTGCGAGAATCTAGATAAATAGATCACACGTCAAGTCCCAGAGCATAGGGCACTGTGGCAAGCCATGCACGTGTATCTCTCCTTGATATGTACATAAATATCGATATACTGTAAAAAGGAAACATCTGTTCACATCCTCATTAGCACAGGGCAGCAGGGTAACTGGGAACAGTATGGCATATTGGAATGTGTGATCCAGCTTCCTAATCAACAGCTTGCTCTGAAGATGTGGTTAGTATTTTATCACTTTAAACGTTTCTGCATAGCCCTATAACTTCGATGTTTGTGAGAAAGGTGCATCATGTTTAAAACTGCTTCAGCACTGAAGTTGACATTTTAAAAAATGTTACTAATGTAGTTCTAAAAAGCAAATTTTGTACTTTGCTTCTGCAAAATGTTTTAATGTTTTTCAATGTAAATTAAATGTAAATAGTTCCAAATTTGTATGGTCCTGTTTTGTTAAATATATTTAAAGTATCCAAATTCCATGTATGTTAAAGAAATTTCCAGAATTGTTTTTAACAAGAACAATTTGTCAGTGAATGCTAATCTTCTAAAGCTAATTTTAAGTATCAACTGTTCAGTTATTCAAGGCCCCAGATTTTTGAGGTGGAGAGGGAAGGGAAGGAGTGTGTGAATCAGAGAAGCTGAGTCGTGATCAACTTTAAGTGTCACTACACAAAAAAATGGTTGTTCATCTTTTTTGTTACCCCTTTGCTATGTATCCTCACTTGTGTCTTTCTACCCAGTCTCCCCATATCTTTTTCCTTCCTGTTACATCTCCATCTTTCTAAACTCTCACTCCTTACTAAAATGGAATACTTGTCCTCTGAACAGCCTGCCTCCTCTTGCGGCCTGTGCTTTACGGACTGGCTTCTTGAATTTTGGAGCCTCTTGCCAGGGGACTTCTTCAAGCCAGAATTATGTCACTCCTCCCTTAAAACACAACATCCTAGGTTCGCCAACTATCGTATGTAAAACTCATTTCTCCAACTTAGGTTTCTCAGAGGAAATTCTTCACATGCATACATGTGTGTGTACACAAAACATAATATATAAAAAGAAACAATATATACTTATCAAGTTATTTCTCATACAAGGTAGGGGGGAAATTGAGAGATTGCTATTTCTACTTTTAAATATGTGCTTTCACACTACATCAGTGGGGTCATATAAGGAGGTAGATAGATATCTGGCCTATTCCTGTAAGTTTTCTTGAGATATTTTGCTCGAAAATTAACTAGAGGTGAAAACAACGGTATTAATAGTAGTTACTTCTCTATCTTAATCAATTTCCATTTGCTTTCTCCAGTTCTTAGCCCATTTTGCATTGAGATTATCACAGCTCAACACAGTTTTATACAATACGCAGCTGGAATTGAACTTTCTCATAGTGATTTAGAACATCCAGAGACTATTCAGTCAAAAAATTTGTGTTATCCTGCTTTCCATCATCCTCATAATAAATTGTAGTTCTTCAATAAATGAAAATAAAACAGAGGAAAACGAATAATTTGGGAGAGTTCTTCTCAAGTAGGACAATTCGCAAAATGCCTACTTATCAATTCTTTTTGATGTCATACGGGATCTGCACTGTATTGCTACTTATCTTCCCCATAGCATCTTGTGAAAATGACAAGATCCCTCCCTTCATGAATTGCCTAGTAGAAGATGTGCAAAGTAAAATGTGACAGTAAAATGCCGTATTTTTGAACCAATGAATTTTTAAAAATTAACAAAAATACTTCATGTTCTTCTATTTGGTGGGAAGGAGTAAATTCTAAAAATATTTGAAGCAATAACTTGCTAATGTTTTGGAAACATCACTTCACAAAGTGAAAAAGAAGTTAGAGGTTTATTTATAAACTTCAGGTGGGTGTATAATTAACTGTTTCACTTAAATGGTCTGAGTTATGTCATGTCACTATTCTATTTATATACTTCTCTGAGTAAAATAATCTTTGCCTGTAATAGAGAAGAATATGTTTTACATTAACTTGCCATTATTGTGGTAAGCAATAAGCAAACAAACCTCATGGATAGTGAAAAGTAAATTACTCCACCACTTAGATGTTAATAACTGTAATTGATTACTGATCTGGGCTCGATTTGAATGGGTGACTGGGAGTTCAAAGATTTGTATCCTAATGCCATTCTCCTCAACCTTCTAGCCCTTTTATCATAAACTACTGACAGATGTCATCAATAAAAATATAATAACTTAAAATATTACAAACAATCAATAGCCATACTTTTTCCTAAATTTCCCATTGTGTGTGAATCCTTCATATTTCTGACTGAACCATAATGAGGCAACGCTTTTCTTTGTAATAACAATCTGCCACCATCACAGCCTCTCTCTGTGGCCTTTGCTCCTCTGGCAAGGTAGAAGGGGTGGAAAACAACGTAAGGCAGTACAAGTGTAATAGGACAATCACATGAAGGACTGTTGTGTATCAGATTTTGTGAGAAGTAGGCATAGGCCTACTGTCCATAAACTGTTGTGCCTACTGGTATGTGAAAAGCCGTAGTCCCTCAGTGTGCTGCCTCCCCAGAGCCTTCAGGTAACCCAGGGAGCAATAAATTGGGTGCTAGATATTTTCAGAGAATAGCACACATACAGCTCCTAAAATTAAATGTGCAATCATGTTAATTGTGTGTGCAAATGACAGACTGCATGCACATTACTGCAGTTACATGCAGAGAGTAATTATGCATGCAAGTCATTTGCATGTACACACTTCTGAAAATCTCACTTCAAGACTCTAAATTAAATCCAGCTCTTTTGCATCCCATTACCTAGAACAGGGGCGGGCAAACTTTTTGGCCTGAGGACCGAATCGGGTTTCGTAAATTGTATGGAGGGCCAGTTAGGGGAGGGGGTCGTGGCTTGGCCCCCACCTTCTATCTGCTCCCCCCCGGGACTCCTGCCCCATCCACACACCCCGCTCCCTGACCGCCCCCAGAACCCCGCCGCCCCATCCAACCCCTCCTCTAATTCCTGACGGCCCACCCAGGACCCCTGCCGCATCCAATCACCCCTTCTCCCTGTCCCCTGACTGCCCCCGGAACCCTACCCCTGA